AGATGAACAGTGAGAAATCCCTGCAACACTGCCAGGACAAAATGACCCTCTCATCAACTGATCGTGCAGGCAGGTGCAGGATACGGACAATTGGGCAATGATTAATGAGTGCGGGCGGACGGGATAATGAGCGCGTTGCTGAAGTGTTGCTGAGTGGCGGTACGTAAGAGGCCGCAAGTGGGACTTTGGTTCACCGGAAGGCCTGCCTCATGGCCACACACGCCTTGGTTTCTCTCCATTCTCTGGCCGGCCACCATATTGAGTCGGAAGTGGCCCCGACTCGCGCCCTACCCTCTGCGCTCTTTCCTCGCTCTCCATGACCAGTCGTCACCGTACGACGAGCTCTTCGCGCAAAGATAGTTACGGTCAATGGCGGCCCAGCGACTCCGACTCCGACCGGCCCCGCCAGACAATGGCCACTACCCAACGTCACAATGTGGACCAGATAGTCGCTGCAGAGGCCCCGCGCAAGCATCGTAGCTCTCGGAGGACGGAGACAGTGGATGCCTTGGACCCTTCCACTTCGTATTCGAGTCACCATCACAAGTCTTCGAGCAGGCACAGATCGTCGTCCGCACAGCAGGCATCTTACTACGCGGTACCCCCTTCTCCCAACCCCTCGCAGCATCAGACGCAGGACGCATACTACGATCTACGGGCCCACCTTGGCCTGAAGAGGAAGACGGACAGACGCAGTCCTCGATCGCGAGAGAAGGCGCTCGTGGGCGATGAGGCGAAGCCTTCACGCTCAGGTCATCGCAGCAGTCGCCAAGCCTACACGATCACGCCCCAACACGATCAGTCTATCGCACAACCACAATCCTCCCATTTTCAGCCTATCGTACCGCCGCAACCCGATGCTGTCCCCGCACAAGCCACTCGCGACCCCACCTCGTCATCAAGGCACCACCGAGACAGGGAGAAGGATAGAGAAAAGGCTAGCAGCCGAGATCCTGACAAGGTGAAGCTACGAGATTCCGCAGAGAAGAGCGAAGAGCGAGAGAGGCGGAAGAGGAGGGAGAAGGATGCAGAGAAGGAGCGGCCGCCGAAGGACAAGGAGCGGCACAGGGAGAAGGACAGACACAGAGATCGGGAGGCTCGAGCGGCGGTGGAGACGCGACCAGTAGATGCTGCGAGCGTATACCATGCGTACGCACAGACGGCAGCGACTGCGCAGAGGTCTGCAGACAGAATCCCTGCGCCGTACACAGTGCGTTCCCCTCCGTTGCTCGCGCACTACCTCCCTCACTCTACTCGTATCATACAGGACTATGCTCTCCCAGTGCAACCACAGTCATCCGCGTACCCTCTTCCTACGTCCTCCAACGCCTCGCCGTGGGCGGGCTTAACCTCCGCAGGGCGTGGGGCTGCTGCCCCCGCACCCGAGCCGACCTATCCGTATGTATCCGACAAGGAAGATCCGCCCCTCCCCATCCCACCCCCGGGGCGTCGACGCGAGAGAACGTCTTCAAAGCCGCATCGTTCACACCACCACAAGGTGTCTTCACAGCAGGCCGGACAAGACTCGGGACTTTCGAGCAGCGAACAGGAACAGCACTCCGTTTTGGAACGAGTAAGTCTCATGTGGCATACTGTGATAATATCGAACATGACATTGCTATAGCCACGAGCGACAGAAAGACAGCCTCACACCCGGGATCAAGCAAGCGTCCACCAACGAGACCAAGCGAGCGTCCTTCAGCGTGTGCATTCCTCCGGTCCATCTGGCAGTGAGAATGAGAAAGCTCCCACTATCCAGAAGGAGCGGGTACGTCTATCAATCCATTATAAGCTTCTTTGAGTGACTGATCGGTCTCTTAGCGCAAACACAGGACACACGGCGAGTCGTCCCGTCACAAGCCGAAAGGCACCACTGTCGATATTCAGGCTGCCATTGAGCCCACCACAAGTCAGGAGATTGCAACCGCCTGGTATTCACGAGTGAGAATCCATTGTTCCCTCAGAGTACAGCACGGCGTTTGATATATGAACCTCTGAAGCTTCACGCTGGTAACAAGAGCAACTCTGCTGTGGATCCACCTTCTCAGAAGGTCGCAACTGCGTCGGCTGTGCCTGCACAATCGTCTGTGCATCCACCAGGCAAGCCTGCCTCATCCGTAGGTTTGACTGCATCTCAACGTTCTGCACCACGAATAGTCAGTATCCGGGCTGGGCAGGGTCCGGCAGATCCTCAAGCGAGCTCCGTGCTCCAGAAGATTCTCTATGGGACCACGCCGACTCGTCAGCCGGATCCTCTCCCGACGCATACTCACCCGACTGCTTATGGTGACGCTCATGGGTACCCGCATTCTTCTGCCAATGCGGGCGCTACCGGTCCGTCCCAGCCCTCTGCCCAGAGCTACCCAAACGCGGCCTCGTCACAGTCCCGGTATTCGGAAGTGAACGGGACGACTCATGGGAATCAGTCGGCTGTGCCGGTTGTAGTGCGACCACCCTCGACCGCCCCAGCGCCTATGGACTCGTACGCTCCACGGACGGCCGCTGGAAACCCTCAGCCAAACGCGATTTCAGGACAGCCGTTCGGACGACTGCAAGTGCAGGATCCGCGCACGCGGTCAACTCCTGCACCTCACGCCCAGTCCGCAGGGTTTACTCAGCAACCTGGAACAACCCGTGCTGACGTTGACCAGTACCGCTCGACCACAAGGGCTCTCACGAGTGACTTGCCGAGCAGGTTCCCGGTGTACGAAGATGCCGCTGCAACGCGGCCGATCGCAGCACCCTCAAACGCCTCTCCAAAGAGAGGGCTGACCTATCCTGGCGCCTCAGCTCCTGCGCCAGCGACCTCTGTTCACGTCAATCCGTCGAATCAGCAAGGACAGGCAGGGTATGACCCTCGATCGCCCAAACCACCATCGGTCTCTACCATTACCCCAGACACAACACGATTACAGTCCTATCTCTCCGGTTCGCCGGCCGTCGTCGCCCACGCGGTATCTGCTGGTTCTTCAGGCAATACGCCCCGGCATTCCCCCTCCGCACGTCTGCAATCCCATCGTAATGGCTCTAACGACACCATCACTCACGGCGCTCCGACGAAACCCTCTCCCACCGGATCTTCACAGCAACATTTACTGCATCGCACGAGCGCTACCACCTTGCAAACTCACGCCTCCTCACGAAATGACATCACGACCTCTCGACAGCCTAATGCGTCTTCTGCATACCCTGATATTACTCGATACCGCTCTCCTGCTCCCTCGGGATACCCTAATGGCAATGCACCTTTGTCCGGAGCGGTTTACTCTCAAGCTAACAGCACACAGACTCTTACGACTCACGATATTCAACACGGTCGTGCTGCCAATGGCCCAACGCCGGCCGCATATACGAATCATCCCTCAACAACGCAGGGGTACGGTCGTTCTGGTCAATCGTTTGACCAAGGGCTTCGCGTCCATGATCCCGGTTCTGCCTATGCGGCATCGCAACGTGTGCCTCTTCGGAGCGCACCCTCGCCTGCTCCTACCACTCGCCCGCCTCGCTTGACCGTCGTGTCATCGCAATCTTCGAGGACGCCGGCTCCCCTTCACTCCGCGCCGCCCACTCCCAGTCGCAACCAGACGTATCCCACTACCGCCCCTTCTCAACCCGCTGCTGTTACTTTCCCGTCCCACTCACGTACAGTCTCTGACCCTCAGTATCAAATCGGGGCTGGGACGTACGCCGCAGCGAGTCTCCCTACACGTGGTCACGTGCCTCCCAGAGTTGTACCTTCTCCTACTCCTCAGAACGACGTGCTCCTCACGCCCTCCTCCCTTGCACCTTCAATGTTGCCTCAGGTTTCGGCTCCGGTGCCACTGAGCCGCACGACCTCGAGGAGCACTGCGAAGGAGAAGGAGAAGGAGAAGGAGAAGGAGAAGAAGAAGGGGTTCTTCGGCCTCGGCCTGTTCCGCTCGCGCTCTTCGCCTCCGAAGGAGCGTGCAGTCGACACGCTCGGTCCAGCTGCTTCTGTTCGGGAGAAGCGAGTGCGCAACAACTCTCAGCCTAGTCAACCACAGGCATCTGCCCAGGGGCCTTTCATGGGGAACAAGATTGCACCATCCCAGGAGGCTCCTCGGGTAGGACCGCTCCCGACGCAATCGCAACCGCAGCATCCGCGGGGTTACAGCACCTCTGCAGTCCCGATAGCCGCCCCCATGCCTGTCGCCGCCTCAGGGCAGAGGACTGCCAATGGGAAGGTGTTTACTCCTTTCCGCCTGTTGTCAAAGCGGCATCATACAGTGTCCACTGCATCTGTCGACGCGGTGGATGGCACGGTGGTAAGTGTAGACGTCCTCTTGTCCCGCCACCGAAACGTATCCTGATCGTTGTTTAGATCAACGCGATGCTGACAGGGGGCGATTCCACGAGGAGCTCGACGGCAGGACGTCCATCCCCCCCTCTCCGCGACCCCATGACCGCTGCACAGGAGTGGAGAAACAAGGAGGAGAACGAGCAGTACGGCCGCGGCACGCTGCGAAGACGGCGGCCCGGCGTGACATTCGACGTCGGTGAAGAGGTCGCAGAGGAGGGACGCGGACCCCTCCAGAAGTCCCTGCGTCAGAATTTGCAGAATCTTCAGCTGCATACCTCGATGTCGCAACCACCAGGACCGATGCCTGCCAGGCAAGCAACGGCTTGACCTTCAAGTCGGGGTGGCCAGGTACTCAGTATTTACTACTTAGCCCCGCTGGGAATATCTACGGCAGCACGAAGTTTGAGTCTGGAGGAATAGATCGCTATGTTATCTATGCTTGCACTTGCTATGTAAATGTATCTCTATGTCGTTGTAGTCGCGCTATCACAGGTCCGGATGTACGCTTTGTGTGGTATAATAGGAACATATTTTTGCGGTACCGAAGGGGCGTATCTGTGCGACGCGTCTCCATTTCGTTCAAGCTTTCACCTGCTCGTCCGCACGCCTCCAAGTTCTGTAGGCTGCATCCGCTGCTACATTGTCCACTGGGGGTCGGAACATTGCCATATATGACAAAAAGTGGTTCGACCCGGGCTCGAACCGGAGACCTCCTGTGCACACAGCCACTGTTTGGCTTCCTGTGAGACAGACGTGATAACCAACTACACCATCGAACCATGCAAATATTGCCGTGTTTAAGGCTGTTCAAAGAGAGCATGCTCGCCGGTGAGCCCGAAAGTGCCCTATATATGGTGACTGCGGAGCACCGGCGGCCCCATGCCGTGGCAGCTGTATTCTGAGCTCGATCACGCCGGGGAGATAGACGCGCCGGGTCCAGGGAGACAGAGCAGCGCTGCGGACGTGCGAGCATTCTCATCTTCTTGCGACCTGCTTCACCCCGACCAGCGTCGTTCCTTCATCGTCCTAGCCTCCGTCCGCAGAGGCCCCCTCGTCGCCCAAGATGATGACGCCTATGCGCTACGTGGTACTGGTGCTGGTCATCATAGTGAGTCCCACCGCGGTACATTCACTCCGAGACTGACTGCGACACGTACTGTACACAGATCAGTTTGCACTTCATCCTATCCTTCTCGCATGAGGAATACGGACGCGCAACATCCCTATCTCACATCTCCGAACAATTGGCCGGCTCGAAAGGTCACCCTCCATACCAAGACGGCGTACCAGAGGACCGCTACGTTCCCTCCACGACGCCGATCCAGTCCCGCAAGGCAAACGCGACCTTCGTCTTCCTGGCTCGCAATGGCGATCTGGCTGGAGTCGTAGTTAGCATGAAGCAAGTAGGCAAGTGACATGCTTTCTTCTTCCTCCTTCAGCATCAACCTGGACCCGTAGAGGATCGTTTCAACAAGGAGTTCCAGTACCCTTATGTCTTCCTGAACGAGGAGCCTTTCTCGGACGAGTTCAAGGAGTACGCCATCTCCGCATACTGCTTGTGCTGTCCCTTACATGCTGCCGCAGTCGCGTACAGACACTCACGGACGCGAAGATTGAGTTCGGACTGATCCCCAAGGAGCACTGGTTACAGCCAGATTGGATCGACGAGGAGCGTGCTACTACCGCGCGGAAGGACATGGTCGAGCATAATGTCATCTACGGAGGTTAGTCTTCCTCATGTTGCTAGTCTCGCCCGACGTTGAATATGGAACAGGGAGTGTGCCCTACCGGAATATGTGCAGATTCAACTCAGGCGTGAGTCGCTGTCGAAGCTTCGCATCTAGTCGAGGGGGTTCTTACCGCCGTCCAGTTCTTCTACAAACACCCGCTGCTAGACAAGTATCGCTACTACTGGCGTGTAGAGTAAGGCCCTTCATTTCTACTCCTAACATGAAGCTCATACCTTGGCAGGCCTGATGTCACATTCTTCTGTGACCTCCACTACGACGTGGGCATATTCCCAGATTGATTGGAGCCTGGCCTGGCTGACTTTGCCTTGGCAGCCTCTCCTCCTCATGCAAGACCAGAAGAAGGTCTATGGCTTCACGGTCTCGCTATATGAGTATCCGGCCACCATTCCCACTCTGTGGGATGCCACGAAGGGTATGTTGGGTTGCTTCTGGTACCTCCATCCCCCTTCTCATCCTTCGCAGAGTTCATCAACAGCAATCCCGGCCTCGTAGAGCCCGACAATGCCATGCGGTTCATCTCTGATGACGGTGGCGAGACCTACAACAACTGTCATTGTGAGCGCTGCTTGCGATCAGCGGTACTGAGCAGGAACTAATCTCGAGACGCGCAGTCTGGAGTAACTTCGAGATTGGCGACCTTGACTTCTGGAGAGGTGAAGCATACTCCAAGTTCTTCGACTTCCTCGATGAGAAGGGCGGTTTCTACTACGAGGTGCGCACACACTGTTGACCAAACTGTTTTCCAAGCTCACTGCGGGACTTTACGCAGCGATGGGGAGATGCGCCCGTGCACAGCATCGGCGTGGCGCTCTTTGCGAAGAAGGAACAAATCCACTTTTTTAATGACATCGGTTCGTGACCTTACGCGACTGCTACTCATCGTGCTGACCAGTCTCTGCAGGATACCGCCACAACCCCTTCCAGCACTGCCCACAAGGCGAGCTGCACAAGAAGGGCAAGTGTTGGTGCAACCCCAAAGAGAACTTCGGTTCGTGCGCCGTGACGTCTACGTTGAGTCCACACGCTGACATTGGGCTATCGCTACAGACTACGAGTGGTACAGCTGCCTCAAACGTTATGATGCGCTATTCACGTGAGACCCGCGTCTTGGTTGCGGATTCGGACGTTGTGTGTATCCTGTATCCCTCTGCTATTTATTGCTTGCTGCTCCGTACCAGGGGCCTGTGCTCGTGCTCATCCCCGCCGTGATACCTCTCAGCTCACCGCGAGTGCGACCCAACGAGTGGGCTATCCACGGACCTCCTTGGTGCAGCCTGCGCACTCTGTGCCCGTTGTTACGTCCATAGACAGCGCGGCTGGCGGTGGACTATCACGTATGAACACCAGTACAGTAGTGTCATGTCAGCCCCTCATAGGATGGACTGGGAATAATATTGATACTACGATGTGTTCGTATCAGTGACGTTGATCGGGACCACGGCCATGGAGCGTAAGAGACATACCGAATCGTAGAGTCGTGTCCAATTTGACCCCAGGGACGTGTCGATGAGTCGTTGTACATGCTCTTCCACCGCAGACTGCGTGAGACCCTGCTGGAAGCGGTCCCGGAGGAGCTGCGCGGTCTGTTCGCCAAACGCCGCGAAACAAGGCAGTGTGGAATCCTTCTGCATCAACTCCACAAGAGCTACAGCGGACCATGTCAGGTCTGGCCTCCACAGGTACGGCTAGTAGCACGCCGATACTCACTGACGATCCTGTCACAATGCTTGCGCGCCGCGTCGAAGCCCTCCTTGAAGAGTTTCAGGAATTCGCGGTAAGCAGGGCTGTCAAGCCCGCCAAGCACTTCAATGTACTCGAGGGGGAGCTTGAATGGCGCCGCCTCGAAACCAATGTTACCAGGGGAATTAGAGAGCATAAAGCCGAAGTCGATGTGGATGAGATGCCCGTCGCGGTCGAGGAGGATGTTGCCGTTGTGGCGGTCCTTGATCTGCAGCAAATACGTGACCAGGGAGTAGCCGGCTAGGGACTTTGCGAAGTTGCGTTGTGCTCTCACGTACTTCGCTGAGGTGAGGTCGCCATATGTCTGATAGTCACGTCAGTGCGCGACAACATGCGTAAGGAAGGCTAGACAAACGCACCGACTTGAAGTGGTCGAGCAAGGTGACGTGCCCCAGACGACCTTCTGCTAACCTCCGTGCATACTCGGCCTTCTTGATCGAGTGTATTGACACGGCATCGGTGATTGTCTCGACAAGACCCGAGGAATTGCCCGTGATGAGGATGCGAAAGCTGTGGGTGTGACATGTCAGAATCCTCGGGATACGCTATCAGCGACGCAAGCTACGCACTATCGTACCCAACATTGGCAATTCTCGTCCTTCCAGATCTTTTCAAACTCTTGGATGAGCTGAACAGCGAGTTGCTCCTGTCGCAGATCGCCGCCTGTCTTGACAATGACCGAGACGCAGTCCCAGTTGGCTGCAGCAAGCAGGTCAACCATTGCCACACAAGCATATGGTCAAAAAACGTACCAAGATGGCCGTACGGCGAGGCTTGTCGTACACGAGCCTAGACATACGCGTCAAGACCAGACTTCGCGACGTGATAAGGTGAATCCTACCTTCTTCGCCGCCCACGACTCACTGAACACGACAGCAGAAGGGTCCGCCTTGCTCAGCTCCCTCCGGATGATGCCCTCATCCTCCGCAGTCTTCAGGTGTCCGTTTGCAGGAGCCATTCTCAACGACCCTTCGTTGACTCCGTTCTCCTTCATGCGCGCCATTCGTTCCTCCTCGAGCGCCAGCATCTCCTCCATGATGCGATCGCGGATCGCAGCAGCCTCAGATGAAGGTAACTTCATGCGCATCGGCGCCGCCGCCGCCGATGCCCCAGGCTCGCCGGAGACACCAGGAGTTGAAGGGGTGCTGGTACCGTTCGTTGCGCCTGTAAGCCAGCTCGTGCCCGGAAGCCAACGGAGCGGGGCTCCAAGCATCGAGGATTCGGTCGTCGGAGGCAAGCCCGGGATTGAAGGGGCTGCGAGGGATTGACTCGCGTTGAGCTGTGCCAGCATAACCGCCGCTGTGCGCATACGCTCAGAGTACTCATCCAGCGAGAGCACGCGGGCCGGATGTGGTCGCGCAGGGGTGTTCGGGCCAGAGGTTGCCGGAAATTGCGGGGCGCGGGATGGAGGGATGTTGAGAATGAGAGAGTGGCCATTGAAGGCCAGAGGGTCGGGTCTGTCGGAATGAGGCGTATCGGGGTTTGAAGAGGCGCGAGACCAGGCAGCCATGTCGAGTTCCTTGTTCTTTGGCGCGGGCGGAAGGACTATTGAGTCTGAGAGATCGAAATTGTTTACTTTTAGCGAGCTCTCGTCGCCGTACAGTTGCTCCACAAGATCTATCTCCTCTTCCTCTGGCGGTTCGGAAGGAGACATGACGGATGGCGAGGTAGCAGGAGGTACTGAGGAAGATGGCTCTGCATCGCCGGTATCTGTGCCGAGAGCGACCTCAGAGCCATTGACATGATCAGGTATGACAACGGTCGGTCGAGACTTGGACGAGTCGCTCCGTGTAAATGATACGAGGTCCTTCGATGTCCCCTTCGCCTCGTTCTCTTTCAAGACGATCTTCTTCAGTATCTCCTTATTACTTCGTTTGGCCGGGTCGAAATCAAGGTCGTTATGGAGGATTTCAATGAGCAGAAGATATGGCGCACGCTCGGCCGAGTTGAGTACTACACTTTCTCCGGGCGGTATTCGAATGATGCGGTGGTGCGGTTGCGGGATGTCGTTGGTTGCCTGAGGGATGTCTGAAGATGTGCACCACATAGGCATGCATATCTTACAAACCACATGTCTGTTGAGTTGCATCCACGTAGCAGTGAGCGTAATAACTAACCTCAGCAGGTAACATATGATTCAGTCCCGTCAACTCAGCTCGCAGAGCACTGACGCGAGCAGGCTTGGGGACGACTAGGAGCTTGTTGCATATGTTCTCCAGGGCAAGAATGAATTGTACCTGGACAATGATCGTATACAGTCTGACAAACAGCACGCAGCAAACGCACCT